CGGCTGGCACCTTATCAGTCTGCGAAGCCTAGGAGCGAGTCCAGGCTAAACTCACTTCCCAGCCAGATGTGTGCATTCAGAGCTGGTTAGTAGAACAAGGCAATTTCTAAACATGCTAGATAAACAGGAGAAGGGGCTGGTGTCTAGGGAGAACTATCTATTGCTGCTGAGACTGATGGTTTGCAGCAGGACAGCACTCATTCCTGAAGACAAAATGAGTAATTGACTGGAGACAAGCTTTCAGGTACCTCATCCTTTCCTGACCACTTGCAGTGACTGACAGCACATGGCTAGTATAAGTCCAGTCAGACATTTTGCAAACACTAATTAATAAAAATGGCTATTTGTGTCAAAACATTTCCAAATAGAAGGTCTTACAAAATTTAATAGGAAATGAAATGTTGATTTTGCCCAGATTTTTAAATGAAATTTGACTTAGGTTTAACACGCTGTTTTGCGGTCAAAAAGAAAGAATATAGAGAAACTACAGAGATTTCACCTGAATGGCCAGGCACCGAGCTCATGTCACCTATGATGAGGGGGCTGTTTACCTAATGGGAGCCTACCACCACTTGAAGGGTAGCTGCAAAACCAAATCCTCCTTGTTAAGATCAGGAGCAGTAGCTATGAGGTGCAATTTGGGAGGCTTTAAGCAAGATGTTACGGTGGGCAGCTGTGGCAGAGGCACCCAAAGCTGGTGCAGTCTCCATTCTTGGAGACTGCCAAACTCATCTAGGCAGTCACATTTGACTTGCTTTGGTGCTTCATGGTGGGACTTTGGTGGTATGACCTTCAGTAGTGCCTTCCAAACAGCATTTCTAAGATTCATATCACTGCCGTTAGTTCCAGACATATGAGTTTTCCCAATTATTCTGTCCTACATAAGTTGTATCTCACAACATTGAGTTTTATTTGCTGTCATCTTGTTGATCATCTTTGCTTCATTAGGGTCCCTTTAGACTGGAGAATTGCAGCTTTTGCTGGCCTAAATAACTCTATCATCTGCAAATGTACCACATCAGTAATCATTCCCTTCCCCACATCTTTAATTAGCATGACAGACATCGACAGTCCCTATGTGGAAATCTCTGGGCACCTTACTGTTAACCTTTTGCCACAGTCAAATGGCCATTTGTTCCTACTCTGTGTCCTGGTACTTAGCTGAAGACATTTTGAAAACCCAAATAAATTATGTCAGATGGTGCTCTTTTGTGCCTGCTCGTTCAAGTGAAAAATGGACTTGTATTTCCATGTAGAACAATGACACTACACAGCAGAAGTTACACTGCCACAGCTCTCAGGGGAAGCTGCAAAAATGCCTGATGCTGATAGCTACAGTGCATTCATCCCCCGGATTTCAAAAGGTTTTTTGGATGTCTTCCTTACTCCTCTCCTATTACTATCCTCGTTCTGCGTGTCACTGACTGGGAAAAGGAGTTAAAAATAAATCTGTGTTATTAACAAAGATGAAAACACTCATTTAAGTGCTATTTATATGCTTATGGAGACTGTTCTTGGAAATTCTCCACCAGCTACAGCTACATTCAGTCACCCAGGCAATGGATAAACTGAACTCCTAAATATTATTTACACATGGGCCACACATCTGGTGCTAATACAGAATCCCTTTTTCTGTACTGAGAAGAAATGGAGGAAGAAATTGAATCCCTCATGGAGTCCTTGCCAGACCTAGGACAATCACCTCGGTCAAGTTCCTCAGGAGTCTTTGGTGTCTTGCTGGCTGAAATCACCTTAAAATAGGCAACCTTAAATATCTCCAACCACCTAAGCCTTATCATAATAAAATTGTTCATGTGTATGATAAGGAGGATATTTTCTCATAGGAAGGCTGAGAAAACCCAACAAACACTGCAACATGCTCTGATGCTGCAGTAGGATAACTGAAGTTATTTAGAAATTGGGCTCACCATTATGATCAGAACCATAGTAGCATCTTCAGCAAAGATTGGTTCAACTACCCTTTGCAAAAGCTATGTAACACCATCAAAGTATCCCTGCCTTCAACTGGGAAGGTGCAGGGACGAATACAATCCCTCTTCCCCCAAGCAGTGTAGGAAGCAAGACTGGGAGAAGTGGCATTGGTGCTGAGACATCACGGTAGGGAGAAACAGGGATGAGGAGCAAATACACAGGCAGTGCAGGCAACCCACAGGATGAAGGGTGAGCTATAATTGGGATGTAGCAATGTCCACCACTGAACAGCAAGGAACAGAGGCTGCACTGTGCTGAATAAATCACTTGTAATTAATCCAGTGACCAACTTCAGCTCCAAAGCTTGTTTATATCCATCATGGTCTAGTTATCAGAGAGAAAAGAACAAACTTACTCAAAAAATATATTCCAGTTAAGCGCTTGTATCTTATTGAGGGTTTGGCTCGTATTTTAGTTTTACTGAACTGTGAGACTGCCAGTGGAAGCCTTTTGAAGTAGTCAATGATTATTTTCACAATTCAACTTTTTTTTAATAATTATTTATCAAAAAATACATCAATTTTAACTTTTTTTGATTCAATGAACTAGTGTGCTATAATATATCAAAATAACCATTAAGACTTTTACTGTATCAAATCTCTGAGACATCTGAACTTTTGGATATTTCACACTTCAGTTACCCAATCATCTTAAAATTACCTATTATTAACTGCCTGAATTCATTGGCTTTCTGAACAGTTTTTTGAATATCAGATTTAATACTAAATAGATCTAATATTAATAGCTTCATTCTTACTTTAAATATGAGAAATAATACAGCTATAATTCTTCTGTTAGTGTGCCTTGCCAGTTTAATTGATTCCTTGCTGGTAGAAGTGTGACAAATACAACATTTTCTTTGTTTTCTATAAACAGGGAGCTTGTAAGAAAATCAGTGGATTCCTCCGAACTATTATTTCCATGTTTTGTTTAGATGGATATGAACATACATCTCAACAAAAGGCAATTAATAAATTGCATTAGCAGATACGCCACAGTCTGTGACTTTTATTTTTGCCTTATACAGTTACATCCCACACCAGAAATGAAGAAAATCTTCCCATCCTGTGCCACATACATGCAAAGTTCTTCATGAATAACAACAGTGTGAATAGGCATGGACAGTACAAACCAAACAACAAGAATTACAGCAAATGATGGATAGATCGACTCAAGGATTATCTGGACATAGCAAGGCACAGGAATAAACACTCAGACATCCATCAAGCACAGGTTGTTTTCCCAGGGGAGCTGCATTGGGCATACCAGTTCAGATTTTGGCTCAATTCTTCATCAGGTGACAGAGCTTCAGTGAGAATAAAACCCCCACACCTAGAGGAATTCATTTTCAGCACACTCAAGGACAATTTCTCAGAAATGATGACACTGGCGCCTTTTCGCCTTAAAAATACATCCAGCAGGAAAGTCCCCAGCAACTTTCTGTTCTGGAAATACCAGGAGATTTCAGACCAGTGCTTCAAGACCACTGTGCTACAGCCGATGAACATATCAAGCCTGCACAACCTTTTTTCAGCAAGTGAGAGGAAAACACCTTCCAATTCTAAATATCACAGTAGTACAGCCAATATAAAATATATAGTAGTTCTAATTGGTGTCTCAAAGTGGATGGTAGGTTCACATAATGGTTTCTCACTATACTTAATGACTGTGTACACCTTCCACTTCTGAAGGCAAGGCAGAAACAGAGAAGTAAGTAAAATGCTGGGCATAGAGTTTTGTTCACAGTGTTGTGAACACGCATCTGACTTTACTGCAATTATCTGGAGAGTATATGCTCTTCCCTAGGCCAGCAGGGTATGAAATTTGTAGTTAAGAATTATCTGAATGGCCAGCTGATTGATTTTTGGGTTTCCGCACTGCTGCATAGTGACTGATCTAAATCTCGCCTTTTATTAACCTGTCTTTCTACTGCCTGCCTAACGAAGCAGAGGGAGTGAAGTGAGCAAGGGAGAAAAAAGACTCAGTCAACTCAAAGCACAGCAGCTCTGGAGGCTTCCGGAAAGGTCAGCATGATTCCAGCTGCACTTGCTGGCAGCCCTGGCTGCAATTAGAGGGGAGAGCAAAGACAGCTCTGCTGTTCCGGCTGCCAGCACAAGCTCGTTAGAAATAAGGACACCAGGATCCTGGTGTCAGGCCACCTGACAAGTGTGGATTTAGGTGCCATTATTAAATTATATTTAAATTTAACAAGTACTGAGGTTTTTGATGACTGGAAAGATTCATGTTCCTGTTAGCTGACTGCTCTTGACATGCTCATTTGTGGGAACAAATCAGGAGAAAATGCTGTAATAAAGTATATGCTTTCCACTTGATTTTAACAAAGGAAGTTAAACCCAAACAAAAAAAAGCATCCCTGACTCTTACCAACTTTACTCATAGACACACCTAACTTTAGTACATCAGTATATACCTAGAAGTATTCGAAAGGAAAAAGATTGTTAAGAAAAAAAAAAACACCCCCCCCAAAAAACATGAAGAACCATTAATTTGAATTTTAAAAGAGTAAAAGCATATTCTACCATGGCAGACATGAACTGCCTAAATAAAAAAGGGAGGTGAGATGCTGTTCTAGTTGAAAGTCCATAGTCAGAGTGTCAGATCAAATAACAAGAATTTATTCTAAAATCTTGGAATCTCTCACTCTGACATGCAGGATAAGAAGCAAAGTAACTAACCACAGGACAAGTACAGTCAGTGACAGGCATTCTTATAGTAGAAAAAGCCAAATGTAGGGCAGGATAGGCAAGGTTTTCTTCTAGCATGAAAAGCTTAACTATTAACTACTGAGAGTTTGAGGTGTTAATGTCATTTCAAAGGAGATGATTCCAACTTTTTCTTGCAGCTGATGTACCGTCCTCAGACATTTAGATTGGGCATTTGAGTTCTTGTGGAACACAGACCATATAAAACCATGTATGTTTTCCCAAGGGGTCTACATTGGCCTTACTAGTTTATATTAAAAAAAAAAAAAAAAAGAAGTCCAGATTTTGACTCAACTCTTCATTAAGTGACAGAGCCCCAGTGAGGATAAAACCCCCACACATAGAGGAATTAATTTTCAGCACACTCAAGGACAATTTCTTACAAATGAAGCAAGAGGCAAGTGGGGAAGAGAGTGAGTGTTGCAGAGGTCTTCCTCAGCAGAAAATAGTGATAGAACCTTGCATCTTACATTGAATCTTATATTGAGCATTTGGCCGCAATGGCCAAAAAAGAGCTCTTTCCAGTGGTGGAGAGAGAAATGCAATATATGAAAAGAGAGGTTGTTGGACTCCAGGGAAGAGCTGAATTTAGTAATAGGGAAACTGGAAGTGGCTGCAGGGTAAGGTAAACTCCCCTGATCCTTCAGCCCAATCTGAAGGAGGTTGAACTAAGACACAAACCCCCAAGCCCAGATGGAAAGGGTGCTGTTCTGGACCAGCATTTTCCCCTGATTTGTTCCCACAAATGAGTATGGCATCCAGCAGGGCTCTCCCAGGAGATCCAGGAAGGTTTGTTAGCTGCCTATAGACAGTTCTCAGTCTTTGTGGCAGAGCAGGGCAGGAGGTCCTGCAGAGCTGGGAGGTCTCTGCAGCAGGCTGGTGATGAGCTTTGATGAATGGATCAACCCAAAGGGCAGTGACTGCCATGTGGGATATGAAGAGATGACTTGCAGGGGAATAAAAGCTTGAGGAAGAAGCTTGAGAAGAAGGTCAACTATAAAATATGAAATACAAAGAATTTCAGGGTCTAATTACCAAATCTGAATGAAGAATGCAAAAGAAGAATTAAGAGCCAGCTTGTTTGGGCTTTTTTTCTTTTTTACTTATTCCACTATACTTTGCCAAAGGCTTGTTCTTAGTGAAACATCAGAGGAAAGCACAGAAATATGAATATTAACATCACTGGTAGATGCACATTACTTTTGCAGGAAACAAAGATGAAAGACAGAAATACAGTTATATGCCTTTATCTTCAATTCTACCAAGAGCCAGACCCTACGTTTTTATCAGGCAAATTTGGTTGAGCTACAAAATTCAGAATACTTCAAAGAAATTTAAAAAGTCTTCTGCAGTATACAGCCATGTCCTGATAAAGCACCCATTGCTTACTCACCCAACCCAACACAGGGTTGGCCAGTGATGGTCATCAGGAGGGGTGAGTCGGGGCACAGATAAAGCTCCTGTTCCCCAGTAAGCAATGTATAAGCTGAGAGTGTATAGAGTAACTGCTGGGAGGCAGGATTACATACACTGAATTTTCTAATATCATCAGAATGAGTCCCTCAAGATACCAACATCATTATTGCTCTTTCTCTACGTTCATCTGTCTGCCATGGAAGATGTTTTAATCCCTCTGTTGATTTTCATGTTTCTCATCAGTCTCAGCTGTATGTTTTAGCAGGTAATCAAGACTCCTTAAACACACCCAGAAATATGCATTCCCAGTTTCACCTTCTCTTTATACCTCCACATTTCCCTGCCCCAATCCCTTGCTCTGCACTTCATAACAAAATGGAAAATAATGCCAAGCGCTGAACTAACATAGTTAGCATAATCTTGAAGTTATATTGTCATTATTCCACTTACCCAAATAGCTAAGGTGTAACTGTTAACTCTGATCATAAAATGCAATCTGAACTGAAAAATAAGATGCAATAAATGTCAATCACTTCTCCACAGAAAATTTCTGATGGTTGAAAGACTTTGCCTATGCTGTCCTCCCATCACACTTCAAAATTACTGCTTCACCTTTCTTTTCTTAAGGAACTTATTTCAGATAGATATTTGCAGCATCAAGCACTATATACATTTAATTTTTTCAGACTACTCTGAGATCTGCTGGGAGCAAGCCTTTCCACTTCTGATTTAGCAAAGGCATGTTGATAATTTCTTATCATATGCTTTTGCTCCAAGGCCTGAGACATCTTGGTGTGAGTCCATCCATTGCCATATACATCAGTTCGGGGGTTTTTGCCTTACAAGAAAAAAAATGTAATTTTGTAATACTCAGTTTTGACCTTAGGAGAAAGAGAGTTTCTGTGTATAAAACATGCAGAAAGAAGGATTTCTGAAGGGAGAGCAGGTTAAATTATTATGCTATAACAGCACAGAAAGTTGGATGAAGCGATTCAGTGCCATCATTGTCACAGACAGCACCGAGGACAATGAGTCAGGAGGGTCTCATCCGTCAGCAGGTGCCATTGGAGTACTGGAACTGAAATGGGAGGGATGGGGATGCCTTGCCCAGGGGCAGGTGAGGGCATTTCTGTATGATTTCTGTATGTCCAGACAGCTGTGAGCAGGACAGGCTCTAACAGCTCAAGGCAGATGTGCCCAGGGCTAGCCTTTGCAGGACAGGGAAGGCTCACGGCAGCTAGAAATGCCCTGGGTATCACACATCACTGAGACTTGTCTGAACTGTGCGAGAACTGTAAATCCTTCAGGAAGACGCAGCTGTCAAACAGCACAGCCAAGGGGAGAATCCTCACCAGCTTCCTTCTTCATGTATTTCTGCATTTCCAGCTGCTCATGTTTAATTGTGAAAGCACCCTGTACACTAATCAAACCTTTGACTAAAACTGGCTGAGCATATCTCTTGCTTTTCCATCAAAACCATATCCCTTCGTCATATTCACCACTAAAATCTTGCTTTGTTTTATGACGCACTTTTACAAAATCTGTGCTTATTTATGCAGAAGACTCACACTTACTTAACTACATCCCAGATGCTGTTTGTGTTTCACCTGAAAGACATATCAACCAAATCAAGTTTTTCTGAGGAATTTGTGAAAAATTATCTAAGCATAGGCCCAGCTGTATTAGCTTTTAACTAAGAAGCTACTGCCCTTTCACTTATTTTCTTATTAAAAAAAAAACACTAAAACGATGTCGCTTTGGTATTTACCCTCTCATAAGGAAAAATCTTAATGTGTTACATACATTGTTATCCCTATTGTGATGCAGGATACAACACTCGCTATCTATTACCTATCAAAACCCATACTTTTAAAAGATTTTACTGCAAGTCTTTGCTGCTGGAGCAAAGGCATTTGACAGAACTTGTCTGCCAAAAGAGAGACTTTGCAGGGCTTTGGGAAATGCCCAATTCCATATATGTTAAAATGTGCCCCTGTGATACAACTGGGTCATTTCACAAGAGACAATCACTGAATACCACAACAGATTTTTTTTTTCTATTGCAGCTTGACTGTGTCACACAGCTAACGCAAAAGTATGATCAAAAAGCTCTTTGAATCCAACAGAAATTAGAGTTGTTATAAATATAGGCATAAGCAGCAGGAGGGAAATACATGCAGCCTGGAATTACGTGGTGCATCCAAGCACACTGTGGTTTTGCATGATACGAGCTGTTGACAGTGATTAACAGCCCTACTGAGATCCATCACACAGGCAAGAGTCTTTTCATGAGAGCTGCCCACAAACAGAAAGCTGGAGGGACTGAAACAACCACAGCTCGCTTCCTCTGTTAGGATGAAACTGGTTGTTCTTTTGATGGCTTTTGATGTGCAGAAAAATACTACAGTGGTAATATAAATGCATATTTGTGGCTCGATTTGCAAAGACACAGTTCCCTTTGAAGGAGCATGACAAGCAGCAGTGCTGGCAGGCTGTGCCAGTTCTGTGAGACTCAGCCAGGAAGTGCTCATTAGGAACGGGACAGGCAGTGGGGATTGTGAGTGTGCTGGGATCTGCAGTGGGGACCCTGGAGGTGCTGGACCTGGGGTAGCAGGTTTATCTCCACCACTGAGGTGCTACAACCTGCTGGGAAGAGTTGTCAACCCCACCAGCTTCCAGTGCTTGCCCTCAACCATGCCAGCACCCAGGCATTACAGCCACAATGCCTCTTCCTTCACCAAGCAAGTGTGCTCTGAATGCAGCAATTTTAGTTCAAGGCTATTTCTATTTAAAATCTCTTTGATGATGAGTTTCACCTTCTAAAGGTAAAATGAAAATGGGAAGTCAAAGGTCTGAACATATAAAAATAAGCTACTAATAAAGGTGCTTGCATGCAGTACAGATTCCCTCAAAGGATTTGCAGGCAATAGATAAAAAATGAGAATGGCCAGCACCTCTAAAGGAGGTGTCTGAAGGCTTTCCTTCTCTCCTGCTCCTTTTTTCCATCTCACAATTTAGTTTTCATTATTTCTCTGCACATGATGCCACCCAGTTTTCATCCTTTTAATCTCCAGTTGTCCTCTGTTTTGAAGAAAAAAAATCTCTTCTACATACTTCTTATCATCCCTTTTTCCCAGCAATAAAAAGCCCACGTGCCTTTCCAGCAGCAGGACCAACAGACCCAGCCTCTGCAGCCACCTGCAGAGGTGGGCTCAGCTCAGCACACCTCCAACAGCAGGCAACACATGGGCACACCAAGAAACACACCTCAGGGCTGGAAAACCACTGCCCACAGCTGGGGGTTGCTTTTTTTCACAGGATGGGAAGCCTTGGCCCACCATCATACAGGAAAGAAATATTTCCCTCACCTTTCTCCACAGGGAAGCAGGTCTCAAAGGATCACTTCTGCCTTCTGAAAGTCACACATACCAGCTGTGCTACTCATTTGTGAGATACCTATACACACACATTTATTACATACAAGCATATTACACACACACACATATTTTTCCCAGCAAACACGTTCTCAATAGCCAGCAATGCTCACTTCAGGTCAAAAAACTTTTTCAATGCCCTACTAATTGGGATCATGGCAAATTGGGATCTGCAGAAATCTGATGGCAGTAAACGTTTTACCATGTTTCTTAAAACCCTGCAAAATTTCTAGCGAAGAACTGCCGGTAACAGACAAGCTGGACCAGTTCACGATGAACAGTTCTTAGCAGATTGCGACTCCACCTCAAATTTCCTCTATTGCTCCTAGCTCCACCCAGCTGAGTACACGACAGGTTTGTGCTCCAATGTCACCAATTTTAATCAAATGGAGGAATTCCAACTTAGCTGAAGATGTAGAATATATTTAAGTACTGGTTTGGGTTTGGAGGGATTTTGTTTGGTTTTGGTTTTTTTCTTCCCCCGTCTTTCCTCCAAGCTGCATCAGGGAAGCACCAAGGACAGAAAAGAAAGAAGTTGTAGAGGTTAATGCTTATTTCTTTGCACTGATAAACTTCTGTCTCTGTTGAAAAAGGAAGGGACTGGGGACACTTCCAGTTACTTCCACACAACAAGGCAGCGTGTCCAGACGGCTTTCTCTGGGTTCAGGGAAATGCCTGAAAAGGGTATCTTCAAGTACAGGTGCTGCAGCAGCATCTAGGTCCTACAACTGGGTCGGAGCAATCCCAGGCACAGCTACAGGTTGGGCAAAGAAGAGATGCAGAGCAGCCCTGTGGAGAAGGACTTGGGGGTGTTGGTAGATGAGAAAATGAACATGAGCCGGCAGTGCGTGCTTGCAGCCCAGAAAGCCAACCGTATCCTAGGCTGCATCAAAAGGAGTGTGACCAGTAGGTTGAAGGAGGTGATCCTGCCCCTCTACTCCGCTCTTGTGAAGCCTCACTTGGAGTATTGTGTGCAGTTCTAGTGTGCTCAACATAAAAAGGACATGGAACTGTTGGAACAAGCCCAGAGGAGGGCCATGAGAATGATCAGGGGACTGGAGCACCTCCCATATGAAGATAGGCTGATAAAGTTGGGGCTGTTCAGTCTGGAGAAGAGAAGGCTGCATGGAGACCTCATAGCAGCCTTCCAGTATCTGAAAGGTGTTATAGGGATGCTGGTAGGGATTATTTATTAGGGACTGCAGTGACAGGACAAGGGGTAGCTGGTTGAAACTTCAAAAGGGGAAGTTTAGATTGGAAATAAGGAGGAAATTCTTTCCTGTTAGGGTGGTGAGGCACTGGAATGGGTTGCCCAGGGAAGCTGTGAATGCTCCATCCCTGGTGGTGTTCAAGGCCAGGTTGGACAGAGCCTTGGGTGGCATGGTTTGGTGTGAGGTGTCCCTGCCCATGGCAGGGGGGTTGTAACTTGATCTTAAGGTCCTTTCCAATCCTAACTATTATATGATTCTATGATCTCTAAAAATGCAATTTCAGTGGCTTACAGATTATATCACCTTCAGGATATCAGAACCTCTGTCCTTGCAATAGGCAGAGCAGTACTGTCATGTCAACACAGTGCCACATAAAGCTTTTCCATGCCTCAATGCAGAGCTTGTGCAGGGTAGGAATGTACTTTTCTGTACCTTGAAAGTATACTAGCAGCACCAGCTACCCCCTTACCTTCACTTCACCCTGCTTTCCTGCCTCACATCTTAGATTGCAGATGATGCTAAAACAGAAATTAAGTATTTGTTTATCCATAGCAAGTGCTGATATTCCTAAGGGTTTCTGACACTCATGTTCTTCATTGATGTATTCATAGGAAATAACGATTAAAAAAGTAATTCAACAAAAGCTTGTAAGCCCCTGTGATAGTTTTCCAGGTCCACCTGCCAGAGCATCCTCTGGAGCACTAATAAAGACACCCTGAAATTCAGAGAGATCAGGGCACAGAGTCCTTCTGCTTTTCCAAGCTGGAGGTAGGTAGTATTTGGCTTCTCTGTGATACAAAGTGATGTCCTGAAGAGAGTTGTGAGCTTGGATATTTCTGAGAGAAAAGACTTCCAGACTGCAAATTATATATATATATATATATATTTTTTTTTTCATTTAAAACGTCTCAAACTGCCTAGGAATACATGTTAACACTCCGCCTCTCACTAGATAGTACTGAAGGCTGGAGCAGTGCCTGTTTGTTTTCCAGTTCAGCAAAGGGCACTAAGTCAAGCAAAGTACAGCATGTGCTATTTAAAACAGAAAAGTTTGCCATTACTTTACTGTGAAATGTAAATATTTTTTTACTAATGACTGTATTCTGAAGCTTGCAATAGAAAATGCATTTTAATGGTTTTATCAAGAGCTGATTTTTTTTTGCCTTTAATAACCCCCCAAATGGCAAACCCCTTTACCCCTCACTCACAGTCCCCTGCACCAATGCTCAGTCCAAGGCAGCAGGCATCGGAATCATTAATGGAAACAGAATGCCCGTGAAAAAGGCTGAGCTATTAGCAAAGTAATTAAGGTTTTTTCTTAATACAGATAAGGTTGCAAGCAGAAATAATTAAAATAAACCTCTTAACCCCCTTGAATTCAGGTGCCTGGATTGTTAATAGCGAGTGCTAATGACAGAATGCAGGTCTTGAGCAGGAAGGGGGAGCTCCAAGCTTGGGGTGATAGGTCTTTAAACAAGCATTTGGAACATTCTGTGACAGCAGCACCCGGCCGACATGGGGTAGGTGCATCCTTACCCTATTTACTGTCAAATAATGCAAAGTTGTGTGACGTTTGTCCACTAGAAATGCTTCAGGCTTGAAATGTGGACTGGCGTTATCTGAAGAGGTAAATTAGGTCACCTGGGATGCTGGAGCTGGGTTTTTAACTGGGCATGCCAGGCTGGCACCACTGATCCCTGGACCTGGTAGAAGCCAGGGAGTGGATGAGGAGAGCAAATCCTGGATCTTGTTAGCTGCTTTGTTACTAACTACAGGTTGCAATAAACTCCTAAACAAGGAAAATGTTGCCAGTTGAGCACATTTCCTAGGGAAACCACAAGCTTTAGCACCTAGCCCGCACTTCAGAAGCCGCAACTGTGCTCCTGATTGCATTTGTTTACCACTAATGCACCATATCACGCTTGCTAAGCCTGGCTACACAAAGTCTAGCTTTATCATAGGAAAAGGTCATGCCACTTCGACTTGACAACATAAGGAGGTGCAACTACTCTTTTTGCTGCAAAAGCCTTGGTATCACTGTGCCAGGGGAGTGGCTGGATCACCTGAAGGCAAGTAGAGACAAAGCTCTGCTGGAGACGACTTGTTCACAGGGGAAAAGGCATGAAAGTGAAGATAGAAACACAGCCTGCTGAAAAATGATGATAAAGAGTAATCTTAGGATGTATGCAAGCAACTTGAGAGCTAGAAGAAAATGCAGTTAAGAGATGGAAGTTTCTTAAAGGAGTGATATTGATGGCATAAACACACACTCCAAAGGAACAAAATAATGCCACCAGCCCAAAGCACTAGTGGTTCACATACCAGACATAAGGTAGGAGCACAGAGAAAGCAGAAACTAGTTCAACTGGTACTAAGGGCAAGAATTGGGGGCCAACAAGAAAGCTGGAGAGGGACTTTTGACAAGGGACAGGATGAGGCAGAATGGCTTTAAACTGACACAGGGCAGGTTACGTTAGATGTAAAGAAGTTTTTCCCTATGATGGTGATGAGGCAGTGGCACAGGTTGCCCAGAGAACCTGTGGCTGTGTCATCCCTGGCAGTGTGTTCAAGGCCAGGCTGGGGCTTGGAATGATGTGGTCTGGTGGAAGGTGTCCCTGCCTGTGGCAGGGGGTTGGAACTAGATTGTCTTTAAGGTCCCTTCCTACACAAATCTTTCTGAGAGTCTATGATATGAATGGACCTGCAGCAGCAATAGAATGACCAGAAAAGTGATGAATCAATAAGGAAAAAAGCTTATGGCAAGTAATACTGAATAAACAGACCTTTTTTTTTTGTTGTTGTTACTGTTTTGCTTCACTTTCCAGTAAAAGAACAATTGCAATCAGCTATGTAACATTATTAACATTATTGACACAAGGTTAATAGCTCAGGCTGCAACAGAAAAGATCCAGGTAGAAAAGTTAAATGTTTTCAGATGAGCTGAGCCCAGTGAAGTTTTCCTGAAGTTCTTGGAAAAGGAGAGTAATTTCAGAACTGTCTGCTGCTATCTCCAAGAAATTTTGGAAGAAGAATGAGACTGGAAGACTTAAAAAGGACAAATTGTTGCTTATCCACCACTTGCTTTGTAAACCTCCTTGTGTATATTCAGTTCCTGGAAACAATTAATCAAACCACGTGTTTCTAAATCCCCAGAAGATCCTCAGGACATAAGTAACAAGATTGATTCTGTCTAGAATGATTCATGGCAACCCCACTGTCCCCCTTTCTCTGACTGGATGCCATGCCTAGGGACAGAGAGAAACGACACATCTTGCAGAACTGAGGTTAGTGAATCTGTTAAGACTCTCCCTCATGGTAAGAGAAGCTGAGTAATAGACTTTTGATAAACCATGTAAAAGTCGGGTGGGTTACCATCACCCAAAATGCAGACCAGAAAGCTCAGCATCAAAAATAGGAAGGCAGAGCTAGTGGGTTTCCCCACCCTGGTGCTACTCAACAGTATCAGCAAATGTCTGTCTGATGAGAGATGGAGTACATTTATCACATTTGCAGGTAATTTCTAACTGGAATCATAGAATAGTTAGGGTTGGAAAGGACCTTAAGATCATCAAGTTACAACCCCCATGCCATGGGCAGGGACACCTCACACTAAACCATGCCACCTCAGGTTTTGTCCAACCAGGTCTTGAACACCACCAGGGATGAAGCATTCATAACCTTCCTGGGCAACCCATTCCAGTGCCTCATCACCGTAACAGGGAAGAATTTCTTCCTTATATTCAATCTA